GTGGGGGTGGGCAGGGGCTGCCGTGCCCCTTCCCGTGCCGGAGCCCAGGACCTGCCCTCCTGGCGCAGGGCGTATGCGGCCAGCAAGGAGTCTCACGCCACGCTGGTGTTCCACAACCTGCTGGGGGAGATCGACCAGCAGTACAGCCGCTTCCTGCAGGAGTCCAACGTCCTCTACCAGCACAACCTGCGCCGCATCAAGCAGTTCCTGCAGGTGAGGCGGGGGGTGCGGGGGTGGGGAGGCACAGCCCACGAGCCGCAGCCCCAAGGGACGCGGAGAACCTGGGAGCTGCGTTGTGCCTGCTGACCTTGGGGTTTGAACCTTTTACAGAGCAGATACCTGGAGAAGCCAATGGAAATAGCCCGCATCGTGGCTCGCTGCCTGTGGGAAGAGTCCCGGCTCCTCCAGAAAGCCACCGCAGCCCAGGTCAGTGCCTCGGGTGTCCTGGGGCCTGGCAGCGCTGTGCAGGCACTTGGTGCTGTGGGGACGCTCTAGTTGGAAGCTCCCCACTTGCTTCTTTCAGGGATGCTGCGAGCGAGCCGCCAGCCACACTGGCTGGTGTTAGCGAGGGGGTGAAGACCCTTCCTGCGAAAGCCCCTCAGGCTGCGGGGGGAGTGTCCCTGGGTCATGGCCCCCATCTAATGCTCTCCTTGTCCCCTCTGCAGCAAGGGGGACAGGCGACACATCCGACAGCAGCTGTAGTGACGGAAAAGCAGCAGATGCTGGAACAGCACCTGCAGGACGTGAGGAAGCGGGTGCAGGTTTGTGTGCTGCCCACGCACCTCCTCCCTTCCCCACCGCGGTGGTTTAGTGCTTTGAATAAATCCACGTGTCTTGCCTTGCAGGATCTGGAGCAGAAGATGAAAGTGGTGGAGAATCTCCAGGATGACTTTGATTTTAACTACAAGACTTTGAAAAGCCAAGGAGGTAATGGAAGCTCGTTAGCACCTGGCAAACCAAAGTGTGTTCCTGCAAGGGAGCTGGCTGGAGGACACGTTCCAGCCTCCTGCTGCCTCCTCTCAGCAAGAAGGGCGGCTTGGCCTCAGGGCATTTGCATGGCAATTGGAGAAACCTTCTCTCTTGTTTCTGCCGTCCAGGGGAGCTGAGCCAGAGCTCTGCCTGTGCGCAGTGGCACGAGGGGGTGACAGTGGCACCGGGCAGGCCAGCGGGGTGCGCGGAGGCTGTGTGAGATCGCTGCTCAGCTACCGACAGCTCCCTAGGGTGCCCGCTCCTTGGCGGTGGAGGGCTTTTGTTTGCGCGATGCTTGGGGGGGTGGAAGGAGGCCCTGTGCTGGGCTGAAGGCTTCTCCCCTCTCTGCACAGACATGCAGGATCTGAACGGAAACAACCAGTCAGTGACCCGGCAGAAAATGCAGCAGCTGGAACAGATGCTCACGGCGCTGGACCAGATGCGGAGGGTACGTTGTGCCGCCAGCCCTCCAGACCCCCTGGGGTGCAGGGGTGCCCCTTTTCTGGGGTGTGAGTGTGGGTTCCTGCGTGGCCAGGACTGAGCAGCGCTGGAAGCCGCGCTGGGCCGCTTCTCTCGTGTCTGTGAGTGTGAATCGTGCAGCTCTCCATCTTTGGGCAGGCCATCGTGAGCGACCTGGCTGGGCTGCTGTCGGCCATGGAGTACGTGCAGAAGATGCTGGCGGACGAGGAGCTGGCAGACTGGAAGAGACGGCAGCAGATCGCCTGCATTGGCGGCCCACCGAATATCTGCTTGGACCGGCTGGAGAACTGGTAGGAGCTGGCTGGGGGTTGGCTCAGGTACTGAGAGGGGGCATTGCAACACCTGCAGTGGAAGCGAGCTCTTTGCCTCTGGAAGCGTTCTTGCCAAATGGGTTCTGATGCCTGCACGCATGGATGTAATCCCCTCGTCAGATTGATCCTGGATAGCGGGCACCAGTGCTGGAACGGGTAGCCCCAGGCCCGTGGGATTTCATGGCTGCTGTGAGAAGTTCCTGGTCCTGGCGTGTCCCTGCAGGACTTGGGCGCGTGCGGGTTTCTTGTGTAATGCGTGGCCTAGAGAAATGCACCAAGCTGGGGGCCGCGGACGTGTCCTGTTCTCCGAGCATCCCCCCTCGCACAGGCGGGGAAATGGGGGCTCAGCGGGCTGGGACCCTGCGGGGCTTGGCAGCCAGAGCTGACGCCGGT